ATGCGCCGGGAAGACGAGCCCAGAGAATCTCCCCCGGACTGCTCCGAGCATGCAGGAGGCGAAGTGCTTGGCGACGCGGGCGCCGGAACGTCGATTCGATTTGTGCGATTCCCTACAAAGGGAATCGGAGAGGGGACCCCCTGGAGTTTTTTGTTTGGGTTCCATGTGCCCCTTTGATGGAAGAGCCGGTAAATAGAGGTGCGGGACAGGTTCGCAGGTACGTTCTTATTATCCAGGTGCCATCACTTTAGCATTGGTCCACTGGCACTGCGTTCTTTGCTTTCTTCCCCAACTGTTTCATGGGATCAACAATTCCTGAACTGGGCCGACCCTCCCCTGACAATTTGTCCGACGCAAGGGCAGGCAGGGTTCCCTCCATCACACATTTCACGGGGTCTTCCGAGCTCTACGATTGGTTTTTTCCTCAGACTAATTTGGGTAATGCAGCCACTATCGAGGCTCGAGACTAAGTTGGGGTAGTGCAATCCCATTGATCACCTTTTGCTTGTCCGCAATTTATTTTATGGCTTAGGCATGATGGGAAATGTCCTCCCTTTACAGGCTGCCGAGAGCAGGGGTGGCAGCAAGTTGCCGATCGTTGACTCAAACAATTATGTGCAGTCACGCTGCCAGTTCTGTTGCAGCGAGAAGCCGCAAGTCCTTCCCACACGGAAAGCTATGTTTTCCTCCGCCTGCCGCCTGCGCCCTGAGGAGGCTTTGCAGTTGGCATGCCTGTCCAGTGCTTCAACCAAAACAAGAAGGAGTGGGAGGACGGCAATGCCGCTTGTCTCAGGCCCTGCCAAAAGGCTCAACTCGGGTGTGCTTGAAATTGGGGGGCTCGCTTTGGGATGGCCTTGTGGAAAAACCAGCCAAAACCAAAGCCAGCAGCTATCGTGGAGGTCCCATGCGCATTTCAGGAAACAGGCACCTGGCAAAGCTAATTGACTGACATCATGATTCCACTTCGGAAGGATGAGGTCCGCCACGGGGCACCCTACATTGTTTGGCATGAGTTTCCAGAGTGTTTCTGGTTCTGTGTGCTAATGATGGCTGTCAAGCACACAGCCCTTTCTAGACGCTACAGGTCGAAAAGAAACGAAAGCCTATTGGCTCATGTTTGCCTAGTTAGGCTCAGCCAACAAACATGTCCAGACCTTAGCATTTCAATCGCAAAGCAATGCGCAACCAATGCAACGAAAGACAGCACAATAAATGACTCCAGTGGCAAGCCAGTCTCAATATGGATTCCCATCTTCAGTTTGCCATGTCCATGGGACAAGTTGAGCGGGGCTTGGCAAAGCGCACACCTGTTGTGAGCCGTGAGGCCTGTAACGTTTGAAAGTCCTGACTTTTGTACTAGTAATTGCTGCCTCGCTAATTGGCTGGCTGCATGGTTGTGCTGATTGACTGGGCTGGGTAGGTAGGTTGGTTGCTTAATTGACGGGTTGTTTGGTTGCTTGGTTGGTGGGTTGGCTGGTTGCTTGGCCGCCTGGGTGATTGAGCGGTCGGGTAGTTGGGTTAGTCGGTCACTGGCTTGCTGGTTGATGACTTGGCTGGCTGGCCGATTGGTGAATTGGCAGGGGGCCCCTATGTTTGGGGCCGTGTTGGAGGGACGGGAGGACAACCAAGCATTTATCCCTAGTTTGGATACATGCCTGTGCCTTCTGCGCTCGCCCGAAGCCCGACCCGAGTCAAGTCAGGTCACTCGGCGATACCAGCAACTTCGGCTTCAAATAGAGTTGGCGCATCAAGTTGCCATGCTTTCACTCCTGAAACTAAACATAGATCCTTAGAGGCCATAGATCTTCTGGGCGTTCCAGGCTCTCAATGCCATCACTGCCATGAGGGCACGTGCATCCTAAAACCCGGTTTTTATCATGGCCCAATCCTCATGACATGCGACCTCCAGTGAGGCAAGACAAGGTCATTGTCTTCGACGTGGCGCCTCGGCTGGTCATTTGCGGCTATGCATCAGCAACAGGCATGTTCGTAGCAAAGCACTCCAAACAAGGCGTGGTTCTGGACGGAGTTCCGCATGAATGGGCGACTTCCAGATTCCATGTTGCTTGTGGCAAACCCCTCCCGTGAACCTTGTCCGGGAGGTCCCCTGTATTTCGGGAGGCTTTGCATCCGGTACCAAGCTCCCGCCCTTCCAGTGGCCCAGGATTGCAAGGGCTCCATTGTCCGGATGCTCCCCGCCAGCCGGCTTCGGCATAGCCGATTTGCCGTTGGGGACAACGTGATGTACTACTCCAACCATAACAAGTTCCTTGGCCTTGCGTCAGACCGTACGCTCTTGTTCCTTGTTCCACTCCGGAGTTGTGTAATGAAATGTTGACCCTTCAGTGCCTGGTGACCCGTGATGGTTTGGGGTCCTTGGCTGGCCTTTGATCCATATGTATTCAGGTGATTGATGACAATCCTATGTAAATTATTCCAGCGCCAAACGTTGGAGGCATTCCATGACGCGGGAGATGCTCTCTTTGATGCCCCCGCTATGTGGGGAGATGGCAACATCATGCTTGGTTCTTGCCTGGCCACTGAGGTCATGGGTTACAGCCAAGGCAGGGCAAGCCGATTCCTGGGCTGAAACTAAGACGCTCTCACACTTTTCATAATGTTAACCCCAGAATACCCCGGATTAATACACCCCTTGGTTGATTAATAAGGGGGTGTCCCCTTTTAGTGGGGATTCATAACTTTTGGAGGGAGAACCCCCTAATAATGGAACGGGTTTATTAATCCTGGGTCAACATTACGCAGAACAGGATGGCCAAGAGCTCGGGCGCACAAGTAATGTCCAGCATGTTTGATCCCATTGGGCGGAGTGGGAGTTGGCTGGACCTGCGTAAGATGTGGATGCACGTGTTTTGTTGTTGGTCGCCTTGGGGTCGTTCATGGGCTTGATGAGTTGATGACAGGCAGCCTTCTATCGTCGGCTTGTTGCTGCTTCAAGGTTTCCATGCTTGCTTGCACATTGCCAATCACCCATGGCCAATGATGTCCCGCATTGCAGCTGATGGTTTGTGGCCAAGTACCCTGTTAAGAAGCGCTTATCCTTCGTCGCGAGCAACCAAACTCAGAACAACCGCCGCAGCATTACTCATGGTGCTCATGTCGCGTTTTGATGAGCAACAAGGCGGAGGCATGTTGAGGCTGTCGACGCCCACCACGCAGGTGCAGAAGATTTTCTGGTCCAAGAGAACCTGTGACCTGGACATCAAGAAAGGAGCCATGGGAGAAGAAATTGGCGCCAGAGGCACAGTGCAATTGCTGCGGCGGCTGGTAGGCAACCGCAGGCAACCTTTGAAGTCCAGTGGCAATTCCAACCAGCCCAACCGGCCACGGTGACATGTAGGTAAGTTTCCCGATTGCACTTCGAACTTGGCTACCCATGGACAGACAGCTTTGCAGTTTGGCATCAGCCCCAGTCCTCCTGATCATTTGTGGGAAGCTTCGCCCAACCTGGATGCCCTAATCCCGCACCGGCTAAGAAGCCCTGGAATGATGATTCCCCTGTAAATACCAGCAAACAATGGTTTTCCATGGCCCAATGGTTTGCCATGCTTTCCAAGTGGTGCGAAATGGTTTTCGTCCATCCTTAGACCTGCCGGCCGTACACCGTTTCAGCAGCCGAACATGAGGCTTTGCACGCGTCTTCGGTCATTGCACCTGCCGCCAATTGTTCGCCACAAGCGCGTCTCGTCGGTCTTGGTAAATACTTCGAACCCAGCAAATGTGGCTAGTTTTCCGCAACAGTGCTCGCTGTTTAAGTGGGGTTCTCATGTTCCGTCATCTACCTTTGAAAACGAAAGTGGTTCGTGGAACAGCATATAGCCGCTATAGCATTGCATTCCTCAATGACGGGCACGCCCGCATCAGTTGCAATACGAACAGCGAGTGGCCGTATGTGCTGCTTCTTTAAATGCACCCTAACCTGTTTGGGACGATCGAAGCACACATGGCCCCTGACAGTGGGAGGGCCAAAGACCGGTTGCTTTGCAGGAGCTAACATCAGCTGTGTCAGGAAGGCAGGTTCTCCGTTTGGGGTGAGGTCAAATTGGGATGCCTGACCGGGTTTCTGGACCTGATACATTTGTCAAAGGGGGGGTTCTTTTTTAGGGGCTGGGGGGCTGGGCGGGGCCAGAGCGCCCCTTTTCACCCAGCAAATTGGCAAGCTAACTGGTGCCGCCCAAAAGGAGATGCCTTTACGCCACTGATGCCACTCAGGATGCTGAAGTCCTTTGCCCTCTGAAGGGACATGATGGGGTGATGGCCGTGATTATAAAAATGCGGTTCAAGTTGAACGCAACATCAGCGCCACTGCCGCCTTCCAAAAAAAAGTGCGTTAGCGCTGGTATTGAGTCAACCCTGCCATTGTTCACACCCGTAAGTGGCGACCACCATCTCGGCCTTTCAGATCTTGATGCGATTGCTGGCTTTCTCCCCTGCAAGCTGCACCTGAAATCAGGCAAAGAAAAACCTCGCTCCCGCTCATCTCTTTGCATCAGCTCGGATCAGCCTTCACGCCTTGCGCGGGCCGGGGGTATTTGTGGGCCATGGCCTTCAAAGATACCTTGGTGAAACTCCGCACCTTTGCAGCGGCGCCCTGGTTCCCCGTGGTGGTGGGCCTTTTGCCCCTCGGCAGGGACAATATTTTTAATCGGGGGCCGGGGCCCTCGCTCGAAAGGTTAATTAGGACGTGTTAGAACCCATCTGAAAACCCCGTCAAAGAAAGTTCCAAGAACCTTTTTGCTTTCTTCCCTACAAAGGGAGCCGCGAGGCCGGCCTTTCCATTTGGCAGGGTTTGGAGGGGTTGAGGAGCACATTTGTTTGATCCTCTTTGGTAAAACAATGGGACATATGATATGTATATATATATATGTGTATATACATCGCTCTCTCTCTCTCTCTCTCTCTCTCTCTCTGTCTCTCTTTCTCTCTCTCTCTCTCTCTCTCTCTCTCTCTCTCCTAAATGTATATATATATATCCAGTGACCTCTAGGCACCCTCAGGGCAGGACGCTTTTGCCTGACTTGGCGTGCTTGGGTCCAAGGTCAGGCGCCAACCTCTTCGTGCTGGTGATGTCGGCGCCCTTGGTGATTCTCTACTGCTCCGCCGTGCTGGCGAACCCGAAGCGATGCCGGGCTGTGACGTTTGGGAATCTGGAACGCGGGATGTGCCCAACTTGTTTTTCTTGCTGGTGCGATAGGTAGGGAATGAGGCAATGAACCTGTGGATCCCATTTTATTATTTAAGGGAAGCCACAAGGGATAATTTATAGGGGTCATTCCCTCATTCCCTGCTGATCACCAGCAAGTTTTGCGGTGGGCTCAGCTGGGGCAAACGAGCTCACGCATGGTTCCTTTTCGGGATCTCCTTCCAACGTTTCAGGAGTGAAATCCCTGGCGGGGTGGTTTCATAGCCTTGAATTGGCCATGCGCAGACCTGGCTACTTTCAGTGCCACCAGGGATTGCTGGAAGGTCCTCCTAACCCAGTTGATTTGAAGTTCCCGCAGCGTGCAATTCATGTGTTTGCGCTTGCCACGCAATCCGCTGCTTCAACTTCTACTCTTGAGCATGGCTGGCCCATGTGTATTGGCGTGTTGTTTGGGCAAGTGGGAGCCCCATTCTTCCGGGCCCCTTTGGAATGTGTTGGGACTAGTTTGCGTGTGTGAGCCTGTTTTCCTCTTCCTGTGGCCATTGTTTGTCACACGGTTCCGAACAAGCTTCCCGGAGTAACCTGGAGCCCTTATATCGCGCTGTGCCCATGTTGGACATAAACTTGACCGCCTTGGTCTCAAAACCGGGGTTATACTGTTTTTATCCGCAAGCGGGTTGTGCCATACTGTGGATGGACGAAGCACCCCTAAGAATCCCTAAATACCAATGAGCAATGGTTTCAACCATGGTTCTCAAGTGTTTGCGGAATGGTTCTCGTGGGTCCACCACAGCATCGTAGATGTTGCCCAGGATGGCTCTACACTGCCACTGCCAATGCGGTGGGCACGGTGCTGGGGTGTTTCGTGCTGATCTTGCTCATGGAACAGCGAGGCCTTGATTTTATCAAGGAGTCCTTTCCGGCGACCTTCACCAGCAAGTGGTGGTCCTGGACGGACACTTGCCATATTTCCAGTTGCTTAAGAATATGTTCAGCTGGCTGAGTTGCCAAATTTCCACTTGCCATATTTCCATATTTCCGATTGTTCCTCTTGCCGAGTTGTGCATGTTCAGCGGCCTGTGACGGTGTGACGCTTGCGGTTCAACTTGTTTTGAGCCAGTTGCGCTATGACCTCCATTTGCTGCAATCAATATTTGTTATGTTCATTTGTTGGTTTTAAACGGAGTCTATCACTACTGGAATATTTTTCCCCAGGGGACTTTAAGCAAATGGAAGCATATTTCAGCCGGAAAGCCATGAGCAGCGATGTCGGTATGGGACAAAGGCGAAGGATGGGTTTCACAGTGAGCTCCATGGAGTTTCCGATTTTTACAGGATCCGGCCTATTTGTTCAATTATTTTTAGATTGGATCCTATGAATCGTGGGTCTTCACCAGGGAAATCTCAGTGACTAGGCCGGCCCGAAGCCTAACATGTTTGAACCCTACTTGCCAAGCACATAGCAACTGAGGTCGAAAGCATGGAAGTGGTTGCGAGCCGTGAAGGATACATTTCCTTTGAACATGTGCTGTTCATGTTTTGCAAGCCTCGCAACGCCTTGAAAAAGAACATGACCTTCCCTCCGGTGTTCAACGCGCTTCCACCCGCATTCCAGCTGAGAAAACATGTTGGGGGGTGGGAGTGGGGAGTGGCATCCCCCACTAGAGGGTACGATAAATTAACGCCTTGAATTTTCGATTCAGGTTAGCCCCCTACCAAGCCCTTCCTGCCCACACAGTTTCTGCCCATTCCGCCTCAGTAAAATTGGTGCCAGCAGTAGAGCAGTTGCCTTCGCCCTTGGCCAAGGAGAACACGATGCAGACCTACGGCCCAGTGGCGGCAGTGCCAGTGTCCGCCATGCCCATCATTCTGCATCCTTTGAGCCCAGCCCAGAATTGAGCGTGTGTGTGTGTGTTCTTTGAGGACGCCCCAATGGGATTGTTTGCGATTGGAGCGACGCAACTCATCAATGCTGGGCGTTACCGCCCCCCCAACTTGCAGACAAGCCCACGTGCGCCGGTCAAGTTGCTCTCGCTCGGTCCGGTTGAAATGACCACCTGCCATATTTTACCATGTAGCCTGTTTGATTGTAGAACATGACCGGTAGAATATGAAGCAACCGAAGAGACCACGTTCGAACAAGCCATGAACCGATGCAGCTGCTAAAGTTAAAGTTTGGAAAGCGGGGGTGCGAATTAGCCAATGCCAAGGATTTTCTTTGCCAAGCTTTCGAAGATGAGTGACTTCACGCTGCTTGTCGCCATTCTGGTCGGCAGAGTCATCAAGTACAGCACCCCGGCCAGTCACAGAGTACGGTCAGCTTCTTCCCAGCCGCGTTCTGACATAAAGTAGTCTACAGAGCAAACCTTTGTACCAAAGGAAGGCCTTTGGTGTGCTTGGGCTGGGACAGTTTGACGGGGAACAAGGGAACACAAGCGCAAGTTTGGGGGATTTCCAGCTTTGAGACACCGAACGCATTTTTGGTGCCTCAGGCATCATGGCGCAGATGGCGCTGACAGCGCCACATGCCTTGCGCTTTTTCGGGGCATCGCAAGAGACCATCCAGGCCGTCAAGAAGACCAAAGGAAACTAAGCCGCTGTGTGTCAACAGGTTGGAACTATTGCTGGTCTTATTCAGGTGATCCCCAAAAAGCTTTGTCCTGCAAGGAAGCCGGAGGAGCGTAATTAGGGAAAGCCATGCAAAGCCATTGGTTTCAAGGGGCCCCACACCTTTTGACACACGCAAGTCGCGCGAGGGGCGGCCAAAGATGGCCCTTTTCCGCCCGTGGTCTGCGAGCAGATACGTGCAATGCATAAAGCAAGTTCTGAGATACCTAGTGGCCCTCCCCCTGACCAGCGGCATCGAAAACTCCACATCCACATGCCCAGTGCCCACTAAGCTTCAAGGAAACAGTAGTGAAGCGGCGATTTGCCGCAGCAATAGGCAAGCAACGAGCAAGCACTGCCCAGGCAATGGGACAAAATGTAGATTTCCATTTGTGGGCGTCGCCCAAGACAGCACAATGCCTGCTGTCCGTTCGCAGCTGCGACTCACCTGGGAAACCCGGAGTGCACTGCGCCGCTTTTTTTCCGGCTTGTGCAACAAGGGGGCGAATTCAGTTGAGGCTTTAAAAGACAAGGCATGGATATTGACAGCGCTCTGCTATCGGGTCTGGTCGTCAATGGCTGCATTGTTGGCACGGGTCTGAATCCAGCTTCAGAACGCATCTCTGGAGATGTTTCTGTCACACCGCCCTTGGCGCACAAGCCCCTGACTTCAGACGGCCAGGGTAGCATCCGGTGCAGGTAAGCAGAGAAAATGGCGCTGAGTACACCGCTCGTCATCGCTGGGTGCTAACAGGGCCCATGGTTCGTTGGTTTTCCCGATGGGAAGCTGAAGGGGGCGGATACAAACTCCAAGTTTCTCTGGCGTCTCCTGTCAGAGTCAAGCAACGGAGTTGGGCAGCGATCACTTCAGAACTTCAGGGTTTGGAGCTTTCCGTTGGGGGCCTGTAGGTGTTCCTAAGTGGCCCGTTTGGGTGATGTTTGTTTTGGATGTGTGTCCCTTAGTGTTGCTGAAGCTGGCCGTATGTAGCCGGACTGGCCCGAAGATGATGGGCATTTGTGAAGCTCCTGTGGCTGGTGGTCATGGTTCCCTTCTAGCTTCAAGAGTGGCCTTGGTTCTTTTTCGAAACATGGAAATTGTTCTGACTGCGCAACTGCACTTGTGACTGGGGCAGTCATCGCTACTTTTTGTGAGGTTCCTAACAATGCACTTGGTTTTGTCCAGTGGGAACGGAATGGATTAGGTTCAGAAAGTGTTCAATCCAACCAGCAAGCATGGGTCCCACGTTCAACGACGCATCGTATTTGGACAAGCAGGAAGCAATGAAGGCAGAGGTCCCAGAGACTCTTGTGAGTTTTTTTTTTCTGACCATGCAACTGAGCTATCGAGGTCCAGGCCCCCGCAAACATCAAGTTCCCCTTGAACATGGCAAACAGCAGCCAAAGTGTGGGCCAACGTTTGGATCATCCAAAATATTTGGCATTAAAGTGATGACGGTAGAGCCAAACAAAGGAGCTTTCTGTTGCCAGTGCTTGTTTTTTTCATCCGTGACCTGGGGCGAGCGAGGCCTGCTCTAGGATGCTGGAGAGGGAGAGCAAGAGCCAAACATAGAAGCCCACGAGTCTAACCACGCCAGGTCAGCGAGCCTGGACCTGAAGACACGGGCTGGTGGGTGTTGCTTGTTTTTGCGGGCCCCTGGTGAGGAGACACACGGATTTTTGGGAGCCCACCTCATCCCCTGAGAGCCAGTGAGCATCCAGGGGAGGAGGATATATTCAATGTTCAAATGTATGCGAGTGTTCCAACATGGGGGACCCATTTTGAAAGATGCTTAATTATCAGTTTGCTGTCGCCTTCAAGTCCGCACATACACAAATACACATACATTACATCATTATGTACATGATACGGTGTGCACTTGCGCCTATGCACTCCTGGTGATTTGTGCATGAATACGGCCAATACTGATTTTGCGGACCGTGGTCGAACCGAGCCATGTTTGTTCATGCCTTGGCCACAAAGGGAGCCAGCCTCCAGTCGAACACGGACATAAGTTGTAGGAAGCGATCCGGCAAAGACTTCGGGATGCCATTGTGACAGCTACGGATGCGTGTGCATGTGCAGAGAAGATGGTTGTGATCAGCCGCTGTGTGATTGTTGAGTGCTTTGAGGGTTGTGAGTCTTGAGTGTTTGGGGTGTTTTGCGTGTTTGCGTGCGTTTGTGCGGGCGGGTGTGTGTGTGTGTGTGTGTGTCTCTGTGTGCGTTTGCCTTGGCATGAGCATTTGTACGTTTGCTTGCTTCTCTAATTGGTTAGTTCGCTTTGAAGGCGAGCGCAAGCATGGGCATGTGTAGGTGGTTGGTGGTGTTCCAGGGCTCTCACCATCCCCGTCGGCTGTATGACAAGATATCCATATGCCTAGTTCCTTCCACCGCCACTCCGGCCGTGTCAAGAAATTCGGGTCGCGCGCTTTGGACGAGCCGCGCTGTACCAAAGCCCGGGCGATGCGCACGCTAGGCCCGAGAAGGCCAACGGAGAAGAAGGCGAGACCGGTTGGGATGTGACCAGTGGGTCTTAGGCACGGGTTCTGCTAGACTTCAATGCCCGAAGGGCTCGTGTTTCAACTGAAATGAGCGCTCAGATTGAGTCACACGAATTAGAGGGGTTGGAGCATGCGCAAGTTGCAAACTCAGGGTTGAGCATGGCGGAAGTGGAAGATGTGCTTGCCTTGTACTTTCTGCCAAGCGCCTCCCACGGGTTGCAGCCTAGGGAGGGCTTACTCATGGCCACACATGGCTGGGATTGTGCACGTCCGCGCCCTCAAGCATGGCTTAGAAGGCCAGTTTACCTTACATTACCTCACACTGATTCGCAATGTAACATGACTTCTTCTTGACTTGAGTAATTCAAGGCTGGCCAGGCAGTAGTTCACCGCCATAGCCCAGCTAATGGTTAGACTGGCGTTTTTGTGTTTCCCGTGTCAATAAGCCTTGGGATGCCAAGCAGGCCCAAATGGCGCGTTCCACCCCCAAGTCGGAGGGCAGGCAAAAATCGGGCCCCAACTCGAGCTTCTGAGTGTCTACCACGGGCAAAGATGAACGTGGCCGATTAAGTTCTCCCTCCCTCTGGGCAGGCCACCTGGCCGGCCAGGCAAGCCAGGGGCGCGGGCATGATACTTCCTGCGGAGCTTGAAACGACATGGGTGAAACCCAGTGCTTGGTCTAAGTCAGATTTGTGCGTTTTGTAATTCTTCGAACGGCGATGCCCAACCCCCTCCCAACAAGAAAGGAAGAACACACTCACACAATCACAAAGCAATGCAGCTTTGAAATCAACCCTCGTGAGGGATTGCTGAACCACGACTTTCAAAGTTTCCCCTTCTGGGGCTGTTCCCCGTGCGGCGGCAGACTGCGGTTCACTGTCGGGGAGCAGGCAAACACTGTCGGTGGTGGTAAACCCCCCCCCCCAAAAAAAAAAAAAAAACAACAACAACAGAAACACGTTGGGATGTCGCTGACCCAGGGTTGAACTCGCGAACGTTCTTCGGAAAAGCGCTCTGGCATCCTGGAAAGTATCGTCTTCCAGTTTTCCAGGGATTGGATGCTTCAATTTTGGCTTGAGAGAGGTTCACCCTGCTTTTTTGCGAGGGGTTTTCTGGCAAGTGAGCGCCAGCCAGCAACCAATCATGGCGGTTGCTTGATTTGCTTGACATTGACACCGGATTCCGAGCACCCAGGCACCTCATGTTTCCTTGTTTCTTCCAACTTAAGTTTGGCTGTGGCACCAGAAATTTCTGCAGTGTTGTAGTAGCAAAACAAACAGGCAAACTATCCACATCTTATGGGCTCCATCATATGGAGGCAGACCCATTTGCATCCCCCGGCCTTTTGTTCCGCTTGCTTGGTTGTGCATGCTCAGGCAGCTTAAGCCAATGGAAGATGAGCAATCAGCCAAGGGCAACCCCATTTTCCCAACGATCCCGGAAGCGAGCGGAAGCGCATAGGTCATCAAACAAAAGCAAGCAACCCATTTAACGTTGGGGGTCCATCATAGGGCATTAGCCTAGTTCTGTTTGTTTTAGATTGCCAGAGACGGTTTTGGGAGGGCGATTCTTTGCATCCCGCATTCTTTTCAAGGACCATCCGGATTACTTTCGCTAAGAGCTCAGAAAGAAGCTTGCCAGAATCCCGCGAGTCAGGACCTGTCAATCAGTGCAACGTTCGACCGTCGGCCAGTTTGAAACATTGAGTAAGTCGCCTGTAGATAGGGCAGTAGAACTGAACAAGTTGGTTTCTTGTTGGTTCTCTTTTGCTGATACGTCCATCAGGGGTGTCTGAAAGACGCATCACATTCCCATGTGTCTCGCCTCGCCATGGCGAGTGACTCTGATAGCCTCAGCAGCGACAGCGAGCTCAGCGAGAGCGACAGCGAGCCCCGCGGTATTGCCGAGGGGCCATTGCAGTACAGCGCGCACAGCGCGCGCAGCGCGCCTCAGCTCTCGTTTTTGTTGTTTCTTCTTTTTTCGCCTGACCCTCACCATGAGAAAAGCGCACAGGGATGCGTTTTCTAGGCGTTCATCGAAATCCCAAACAGCTGCGCCCTAAAAAGGCACCTTGCTCTTCACACATGTTTACACGGGCAGCTGCAAATTTCCGTGCGGGAGGGCATTCGCTGGCCATGCTCGGGCGAGGCCAGCGATGCGGCAGATGCGACCGACGGACTTCCATGGGCCGGCTCGGGCGACATCGAATCCCAGTCCTCCTTCAGCGAGCGGTTCATGAGCAGCGGCGGCCCGTCCAGCAGGCAGACCAGCAAGGCCAAGGCGCAGCCCCTGTTGTCAGACCTGGCTGAAAGGGAACCAAGGGGTCAGGGGTCTTCAAATGGCCTTTGAAGAGGGGGCCATGAGTTCTGTAGGTTTGGGCTGCGCCAAAACGGGGGGTCCCCATTTATCTCCGACTGCATACAGCTCAGGCACTCGGACGTGGGCTTGACGAGCCGACGAGTAGTCCCAGTTGCCAGGGTTGTTCCGAACTGAGGATTTGCTAGAAAATGGGATTGATTTCCTGAAGCGCAGGCTCAGCCCGAGGAGTTCGATGCGTCGATGTCCAGCGAGCGCAGCGCCGGAGAGAAGCCAAAGAAGCATCCCAAGGCCAGGCAGACGAGAAACGGTAAAGAGTGATTAGTGGACATGAATTCCCCGCCCAAACGATGTGCATGAAAGGGTCCCCCTTAAAATTTACACTCATATGTGAAACATAGGTTTTTGGACATGCTTCCTGGCAGCTTGGGCTCGGGGGCCAGGATTCATGAGGTCGTTGAGGTAGACGTCGTGCTGCCAGTCAGCTTTGCGAGTTGCAACTATAACATAACGGATTTTGCCGCTACTCCGCCCCACTGGGCCCACCTGGAAACGTCGCACACACACAAACATACATACACACATACCTAGAACATCCTTCCGGCAGAAATTTCCGCCCATTTTGGCAACAGGCGCCTTTTGAGTCGTGACGGCGTTTTTGACTTGGCGCCGGCGTTTTTTGCTTGTTCGCGATGAGGTACCTTAAGCATCGCTTAGCCCTACTCGCTTGGACTTCTGAACACTGCTTTCGCTTTGAACTGCGATTCACTGGTGTTCCCTGCCGTTGATGGCTTGTTGGACTTCCATCTCTTTCTTTTTGATCAACCTATGGCTTGCTTTGATGCCCACATGGATGGGGGAAGTTTGAAGATCATGGAAAGTGCAGGCGCGACAGAATACTCACAGGCGAGCATTCCTTTGTTATTTCTGGGAATGCCTGGTGATGTTTTAGGCCTTCACAACACGCCGGACACTCTTGGCAACGTGTTCTTGTCCAATGTTCGGAGCTTTCTGGGCCGGAGCGCGGGCGGAATTCCCCGGGAAACGGGCGGAATTTCCCGGGAAACGGGCGGAATTCCCCGGGAAAGGGCGGAATTCCCCGGGCGGAATTCCCCAGGTCGAAGAACAGTGGACGTCCATCCCCCTTTGATCAGCGTTTGAGACCATCCTTTTAGTTGCATGGCTGACTGCAAGCCTGCCATGGATCTGCAGGGTGTCTGCCATCGCCCGAGACGCGCCGAGACATGCTGGGTGGGCAAGGGAAACAATCGTTCGAGTCTAGACCTTCTCACAGCCTTTGCTGGCAAGACGGGCTAGGTGAAAATGGTTTGGTGGCGTCGTCCTTTGAAGCGTGCGTCAGTTGGGACAATTGCCAAACATTGGCAACCATTGAGGGCTGAGTGCATCGTGGGCATCTAACTGTAGCGTTGCGGCGACGGCGTTTTTTCCTTGGCTCGGGCGTTTTCCCCCATCCCCGGCGTTTTTTTCCGAACAACGGCGAAAATTTCTGCCTTTGAGGAAACGGGCGGAAATTTCCGCCAACGGAGTTTCTAGGTATACAAACACACGAACACACAAGCACACATTCGCGAACAAACGAACACCGAAAACAAACACACAAACACACGAATACGCAATCACACAAAAACACACGAACACAAACTCAAAGGAACCAGCGCGCGGCATGTGAGCCTCCGTGCAAATGCTCGCGCTCTTAGCTTTGGGCTTTGGGAAGACCTCTCGGCTTTGGAAATTTGCAGAGTTGCCAAAGTCCTCCATTGACATCAAACTCCTGCCGTTTGACTCATATCCCGAACTGGCGCTGGGGAAGGGAAGAAGGATTGGTCGAGTACAGCTGCAACGGCAATGCGCCTGTCGAAAGAACAACCGGAGTGCTGACTACATGCCTTCTGTTTGAGACTCTGAGACCAGCAAAGAATAGGATACATAGGAAACATGCTCTAAAACACTACATTGAGTTTTCATTGACGAGGTGCAGGTCCATGGGGTGTACCATATAGAAATACCTCTATATATATACACATATACGCATTGTATATATATATATATACGTACATATATATATATATGTAGATATTTAAATGCATATGGATCTTAAATATAATTGAGTATGTCGGTTGCTTAGTAGCTGAGGAGCGCGGGATTCGGCGAAGGCATTTTCTTCCACTTGTGCTGCGCAATGACGGCGTGCAATGTGTTCTTTTTTTTTTGCGTGTACTGTGCGTTTGTTGCTTGTGCGTTTGTGTTCTCACCTGCTTGTATTTTTTCTTTTTTTTTAATGGTGGTTTTTGTGTATGTGCGTCTTTGTGTTTTGCGTGCGTGCTGTGCGTATGTTTGTGATGCGGTGTGTGCTGCGTGTGTGCTTGTGTGTCTATGTGTGTGGGCTGTGTTTGGTGTTTCTTTCAGTGTGCAGGCCGGCTTACATAAACATGCACATGAGTTGTCTGCAACCCATGATAAAATACTGGGTGTTCCTGATGCACGCATTGCCGAGAGCTGGCAGGCGAGGCCGGAAGAGCTCCCAAGCGAGCGCAGCGGGCGATACAGCAGCGAGCTGTCCAGCCTGGACAGCTTGGGGCATAAGGCCAGCAAGAGATCTCCGGGGAGAGACTCAACCTGTAGACCCAACATTCAACATGCACTGGCATGGCCTTGCCCAAACTCCTAGCGCCTTGTGGAATCCGACTAGGACCATGAGTTGCCAACCAAGTAAGATCGCGATCCAGGCCAAAGTGAGACGGTGAAACAAATGTCAAGCTCACTGGCTCGATTTCGTGAGTTGCTTGATTCGTCCTCCGGTTCTTCACAGGCTCCATGCATCTGAGGCATGAGAGTATGGAGGCTTTGTCAGGGAGAAATTCCAAGTGGCTTTGACAGTGGCCCCTTAGAATCCTAAGGGTGCCACTTTTGATGTTCACATCGCCGCGTGCCCCCAGTGAAAGGCCGGGTCTTTCTTTTATACGGGTGTGTTTGTTTAAAAGGGAACCCCCCTCTTGGTGTCCTTGCAAAATCAACCATCAACCAAACATGTGTACCCCCCCCCCAAAAAAAAAAAAAGGAACCCAGACAGACCCACCTAGCTTTGGACTTGGGTTTCGCCTTCCACCGGAGAAAGCCCAGCAGTGCCGCATCCGAGGGCGACAGCGAGGCCGAGCTGGAGCCGCTGCTGGCGAGCACTCCCGCGCCTGGGTGAAAAGCGGAAAAAAGTGTCCTACTGTGGATGGACGAAATCCATTTCGCACCACCTGGAAAAAAACACATGGGAAACCATTGTCGTTGGCA